ACCCAGCTTAAGGCATGTCACTGCAGAATCATGTTTTCTAAAGCCAAGGTAAATGTCTTGAAAGCTATCAAACAATAAGACTACTGAAACTTAACAAAGCAGTGTTTAAAAACTTTTTCTCTCTCTTCAGCCTTCTGTCTTGGCACTGTCTATTATGGCTCTAGAGATAGAAGAACAAAAACTGCTGGAGTTGACAGAGGCATTGGAATTTCTGCAGTTGCATTCCAAGGTATGTATAGATAAAGTCTCAGGGGAGGAAAGAAGAAAAATGCAAGTGCCTACACAGGGGAAAAGGGGGAGATCCATTGATATACTGGTTTCTTTTGTGGCTTTGTTGGAGTTTTGGTTGGTTGGGTTTGGTTTTGGTTTGGTTTGAGGGTTTTTTTCCATTTGGCTTGGGCTCTCTGGTTTCCTATCTTTTATAAAGAAGCTGAAAGTACATGTATGACATAAGGATTTAATGAGTTATATAAGATTCCGTTTTGCTGTTTAGATAAACAACAGAGATTTGTCCTTCTGGAAGGAACTGGTGCTAAAGTGCCTTATAGAATATTCCTCAAGCAAGTGTTCCAAACCAAATGTCCAGAAATTAAAATGGATTGTGTCTGGACGTACAGCACGGCAGCTTAAACATAGCTACTACAGAATAACACACCTTCCTACAATTCCAGAGACCAGCTCATAAGAGGTAACTTCTTGTAAAACTAACTTCTGATGATGTAGAAGTAATTAGTTGCTAACTACCTCAAAGTTTCTTATTCTGTATAGAATGAAGACATGTAACATAAACATAGTAGGCCTGTTATAGAGGCTGGTCTGTTCTTGTGTTCATGCTTGAGCCAGTGATGTACCTAAAGAAGTGGCAACCTAATATATGAACACTGGAGAAAGAACTGCTCCTCTGGTGTGCTGTTGGGAGCAGAAATGTGTTCTACAGACATTGAGACATCACACAACTAAAATGTGGAGTGAAACTGGTAAAAAGGCAGAGAAAAAGATTGGCTTGCTCCTATCCTGAAAAGAATCAGCTAAGAGGAAACAGTTGCCTATTAGAATGAGTTTATTTTAATCTTTCACTTAAACCACTTAAAAGGAAGACAGTTCTACAGTTTTACTTGTATAACTGTCTGATTAGTTAAGTGTAAAAACTGTAATTCAATTATTCATATTACTGGGATTTTTTACTCTGTAGAAATTGTGAACTAATTCCTTATCAAGAATGTAATTCCAAAGGCTGCATTTTTTTGTAACAGCTGTTGTTGTCTTGCTATATTGAAGTCTGATACTTTGTTTAGCTCTTGTAGAAAGCCTTCAGTTGTCTGGTTTGGATTTTTTTACAGGAGTACAATAAAATGAGGAGAGAACCATGCTGTGACCTTGTCAAGAGACACGTGAATATCTGAGAAACAAAGTCTTGAAACAAGATCTTAATAATGAAGAACTCAGCTCATGGAAAGAATACGTAACATCTCAGACTAAAAGATCCTTCCAGCAAATATGTTCTTTTCATGATGATTACAACAATATTCACTGTCAGTTTTCAGTCTTATTTGTTAGGCTGTTTACTGATTAGTGAAATAGCACAATACTGATACATGGAATTTTAACACCTCATAGTTTGCAGAGCAGCTTGTGTAGTCTAACTTTGGTTTACTATAACTGCAGATACTGAATTGTATACTTAATTTGAAAAATCTGGTTCCAAAGATTACATGACACTAGCACTGTGCTGCAGTGTCTTAATCAAACTAAAGACTAATCCTGCTCAATACTGATGACAGTGGCAAATGCCTGTCAGTCCACTAACGTGCTGTTTGAGCAGTGTCATGTGTCCATATCTTCCTGCTGGGCAGGACACTGGCCTTCTACCATAGACATATTAAAAACTAGGCTATGTGATACCCACCAAACATGTCAAGTAGCTAAAGCAGAAGAAAAGAGAAACGTTAGTTCATTCCCTTATAAAAGGGTAGTCACTAACACAGCATCATTAACTTCAGTATTTTCTAAGAGGGGTAGTTTACTGAGATTAGGAACTATATCATAGAGTGTAAAAGCTTTGTGATACTTGGTGAAGGCTGAGGGAAAGTACTAGGTCAGCTGCCCTAAACCTGACATCAGTTCTCCAAAGTTTCACTGTACAAGGTATGCTGAACAGGTACATTTTTACAGGCACAGTAGGAGCAGGGCTAATACCCCATCTTGACCTGTAGACAGAAGCAATTGAGAAACACTGTTTCAACTCTGATCTCTTTAGTGATAAGCTGTTTAAAATACATCTGTGGTTTTTTGAAGACCAGATCAGTACTTGAAGCGTATCATGGTTCTAGTGCTAACAAGGAAGTGAATAATAAGAATGTATTATTGTATGTAAGATGAATAGAGGTGTTGAGGGTATGTTGCTAATGACCTCTTGAATGCTGCGTCACTGTGGAGCAGAGGCTGTTAGCAATGGGCTGTTAGTTACGGATTGCCATATGAACTGACTTAGTGGAGAAGGAGAGATCAGAATGTTCTGAATTTGAAGTGGTCTTAGGTGTTAGCCAGGCAACCCTTTTCCTTTTATGCTGAGGGGGAAACCATTCTTTTAATATCTCAAACTAGTTAATCTTTTCACAGAAGACTTCATACCAAAGCTCTGTATTGGACAAATCAAACCTTCTCATGAACTCACGGAGTGATTGCACCGCATAATATGTAATTGGGTTTTGCAACTGCCAGTGCTATCTATGCATTGTGCTGGCCTGTGAAAAAGCATACAAGTGATTCAAACAAAGGTGTGGTCAGTCTACTGGGAGAGATGGTGAAGATGCAGTGTGCAATTCTAATTGTCATGTCTCAATATTAAAATATGGACCTTTCACTTGAACACTGAAATGTGCTTAACTGTGTGACTTTTTCCCATTTGTTATAAAGCATCTTAGTAGAAAGCCTATAAGGTGACTTATATCTGAACAATACCTGGAAAACTTCCAGGCAGAACGTAAGAGATCATGGAGATATTCTCAAATTTTACTTTTTTAAGAGGTCGAAGCTGCATGGGAAAGGCTGGAGAACCAACAGGAAAAAGTTGAGATGTTTGACAAACATTATTGCAACTTGGACCACAATTACTCTAAATCCTTTGAAATCTTTTAATTTTCATCTATATTCTTCTAAAACTGGAGGCCTCTAATTTACCGGATATGATCAAAGTAGCTAACCCAGTAGTTCAAACCTAGCTTTTTAAAACAATTCAGAACTGTGATGCCAGAGTACATTCTAAACAGTTGTCCTCTTTCCTTGACTTAGCTGGAGGATGATTCTCATGTTACTTCATAAAGCAGAAACTATGGGGATGTTTAGCTTTTCAAGTGCATGTAGCAAATCTAAGTTCATGCACTGAAGTACCAGATGGCATTCTAAACTTTTATAATCAAAAGACATAAAAAAACACCTGATGCAAGCCACCTGCTGTAAAAAGATACTGTTTCACTAGGTAGTACTTCAGCATTTTAATGCACCATTAACTGTTTTCTGTCTCTGTCCTCAGTTAATTTTGTATCAGTCTTGTTCACTTCTTAACTATACCATCCACCTTCTATACTAGGATCATGGTAAAGATACACCACTTCATGGCCAGGAATCAGCGTTTGATACCACACTACTTTCCTTTGCAGAGTAAGGCAAGTTCTCTACAACCGTAGCACAGTGTATGGACCTACTTCACATTCCATAAAGATGACATGAGTAGAAGGAGTGCACTTTATTTCAGGACTATTAATGGTTGCTTGTTCTTACAAGAAAGCAGTGAATGTAATTAAAATGAAATCATTCTTCTTCAACTACTGCTTTATTTTTGCCATGTGCCAACTAAATAATGATGCAATTTTAGAAATAAGGCTCAGCAGCATGATGCACAGCTGCTGGCAATTTATCTGCTTAGGACTTAAATATAGGCAATAGTTTCAGTGTTCAGACTACAATAGGATTTGGCAATCAAGTCTTCTTCCTCTGTTAGCCTGTTTGACCCAGCCTTCATCCTGTGGTTGGAGTGCTTCTCAGCTCCATATTGCTGTGGTTGGAGTGCTTCTCAGCTGTGTCCTTAACAATGAATACAAAATTCCTCATACATAATTGGCACATGCAAAATATTATATGATGCAACAGCTAAGTTTAAAATGTGGCTATTAATTTTAAAAACTGTATCTACAAAATTTACATCTTCTTAGATAGCAGCTTGTGCTGTATGCTGGGAATGACTAGATGCAAGATACCATTCCCTATTTAGGGACCTCCTATTCCTTTCAAAAGTGATCATATTCTCTTACTTTCAAAATCTTAAATATTTATACTGAAAGGCTGTATTACATAAACACACAAAATTATTTATATATCAGAGTTTCATCTGACCTTTCAGTTTTCTAGTATCGTTTACCTGGTAACAAGTACTAAGCATTATTGCTGCACTTGATAGCATAGTGGATTGTAGAATCTTATCCAAGGCAAGATGCTGTAGTAGTTTTATTTAAATCAATTTTTTAGAATAACATTTATGAGTTCTCTGAGGGCTGCTACAGAGGGAAAGTGTAAGTGTAGCCATCCTAATATCCTTCCCATTGCAAGTTAAGAGAAAATATTAAATATCTTGCTTATAACCTGTAATCTGCAATGGTGAATAAGGTATTTCTGCATAAAGACGAGTGGCATATTTATAACTGACCAGTTTAGTATGCTGTTTCTAAAAAGAAAAACAAAACCCAAACCCACCTGCTTCAAGATGTTACTTTTTGTGTACGCCTTTCTCTATAGTTTGTCCCTCAGTATTAGAAAGTTATCACAGTTTATAAATCAGCTGGTAATACTTTGTCTTCATTCTACTGGAAGAGATCTTTCTGTTCACTGAAGTAATGACTTGACAACAGTCCACTGAAGAGATCACTGAAGCCTTCACCAGTTACATTATTCCAGTCCTTATGTGTAACGTGAAATTCCTCTCAGGGAACACAGACAAAAGCAGTTTACTTTTCAAGACTAGAAAAGTCTGGTCCTCCTTTGCTGTAATTTCCAGAAATTTCTGCCCCGCTGAAGTCAAACCCAGGATTCTGATGGAGGTAAGAGAGAAGTTTAATTGATATATTATTCATAATCAAAAATATTTAAAAACCCCAAACAAAAAGCCCCAAACTGTTTCTGTTAATACTCTGCTATTGTAACAAGGACATGCAGTGATCAACTTGTCATCTGTTTGTCATGGCACTGAAATTCTTGGAAAATGCATCAACAGATAAACCTTGAATTGCCATAGTTTGGTTGCGTACTGCTGAAGTGACTTTGTGATGCTGTTCTCAATTTGGCAAGCAGTTAGGTCTCCCAGCAAAGAAATATTAACGAAAGCTTAAGAAAAAATTCTGGCTTCTAGTGTCCCTTGAAATGGCAATTTGAAAACAGAAGTACCTGCCATGCTGCATAAAAAGTCTCATAAATATTTTCCCTGTTGTGGTATGTAGCATGCTGAATCAGCTGTTAAGTAGTAAATTGTAATCCTACAACTCTGTAGATGCTCATAGCTGTGTGCTAAAGGTTTACCAAAACAATTTAAACAATTCTAGTAAAAGGGCAAGGAAAATCTTGCCCAGCTAACCATTCTACATCATCTGGTATCATAAACAAACATATTCAATAGAGCTTGATGCTAGAAGTCTGTTGTAAACATGGCTATGCCATAATTCTAGATAATAACAAATAGCGCGTAGCCTAACTTAAGCAAAAAGTTGTATTGTGTAACAAACCCTAAAACAGCAGCACCATCCCCTAACCCATCTTAACTTTTCATAAAACCTTCAGTCAGACTACAGACACATTAACCTCTTGAAAGTACACTGACTAAGCCTCATGAGCATTCTCTATATATTGAACTACAGTACATGCTTCCACAGCACTGGAAAGCAGAACAATTTTGCTCAGCTTTCATGGCTATGGCCTTGGTGTGCAAACACAAAACATAAGGAGTAATTCTGGTCCTTTAACTTGCCTCTCTTTGGAATCGCTCCAGTGTAAGTTTCCTTTGCATCTGGTCCTGTACCCAAGGATCAGCAGCATATTCATCTTCTAACAGAGACGTCCAACAATTTCCAGCATCTCGGTTTGTCTTCATTAGAACAATTCGTATCAGTTTCCTGTCTTCTGTTGAATGAAAACACACAAAAACCAACCATTAAACTCAGTCCTATGCAGTAGCCTTTGTTGTTGTTTCGGTGAATTCACCATTAAGAAGTATAGGATTTTTATTTTTTGGTGAGAAATTTAAATTCTTAACACCAACCGCGTTCTTGATAGATAAATATACATTAACAAGAAATGGAAAGGCTGAAGCAAAGATGGCCTATACAACCATTTCTCCCCTTTCTGGCCTATAAAATGCTGAAGCTGTTTTATGGGATTAAAACAGTTTGTCAGTAATTCTACTGCAAACATAAACTAACCTTTGAGAGAGGTTCACAACATATAAAAGATTTAATCTATTAATATGTATACCTCAGCTCAGGCAATAATGAAGCACTTGAGGTCAGGCTTTACAGAGATATTACCAGTAAAAGCCAGAACTGTTTTAGCACCATATGGAGATCTAATCAATTTATTTAAACACAGACAGTACGCCTATAGACAACACATTGGAAGTACATTTCAAAGGCGACACGTAGGATGTATGGTTCTACTTAATTAAATAAATACAGCATTAGCAAGTGTATTTTGAAGATTATTCACATACTGGAAAAGAGTAGGCTTCGTGATGCTTGTTTACACTTCTAGTTTTCATGTTTAAGTTACTAAATTATTAATATTTAAAATAAACATTGAATGGAAAACAAAATCCATCATAGGAGGATTCAGAGGCACAGTCTACAAATGCAATTGCCAAAACCCAAAAGAATCTGAACACTTTACAATAATTATGACATAACAATTAGAGCTTTTTTTTATTCCTCATTAGCTGTAAGTACCTTAATGTAATTTTTAGATTGGTTTTTGGTTCTCTTGGACTGTAGATTTCATCACCCATCCCAAAACTGTAACGCATAAAATGTCACCTACCCCAAAACCATAATGCATAAGGAGAAAACCCCAAAAAAGTAACAATTATGGAGAGGCACAGACTGCCTAACTATACTGTAACTGTCAGCTTTAATGAGTGTTTGCAAAAAAATATCCACTATATGGAAGCGTTTGTAATCCACTGACTACTGCCTTCCAGGACACAGCATGTCTAGAGCTTCCGTACTACCTCAGTTCTTTGGTCTGGCCATAATGGTTGGGTTTTTTACAAAGCTATGTACAGGGAAGAAAGTAATCTTTCCCATTACATAAAAAGGGTAAAACTTCTGCAGCATGTTTTGAGACATCCCACTGCACTCATAATGCCACTTCAGATGCAGGTTGTTACCTAACGTCCACGTTCCTTCATCGGTTACTGTCGAATCAAAAAGTTTACCCTGCAAAAGACATGTACAGTATTACAAAACTGGAAAGCCTGCTCAACATCCAGGTCCCACTGAACTACCAAGTTTTGCTCCTAACTTACCTTCTTGTTTTCTACTGAACACGGGTAGGGTTGTCTGGCCCTATAAGTATACACTTGCACATAGACCATCAAAGAATTACTGTTTGTTACACAATTACTCTTTTTTTTTTTTTTGTGTACACACAAGCAAAACGAAAAAAAAAAAGTTTTGTTACACAAACTTCTTTTTTAACGAAGCATTTACTACAGTCCCTGTTTCAGTATCTCAGCGCATTGGAAAGGCTTTTCTCAGAGGGTAATGTCCTTTGTAACGGGCTGCCATGAAAACGCCAGAACTTCTGCCACGGGTGACATACAGCTGCGGTGCCATGAGGTACGTGCCCCGTGCCGGGAAGAGCTGCTTGCTCCCGGTAGGAAAGCGAAGCTGCTGCTGACCTGGGCTATTGGCGTTCAGCAGCACACAGACGCTGCCCCAGCACAACCCGAGGAACAGAAACCCAAGGAATTTGTTGGCTTTGGTTTTCTCATCGCCTTTAAAAGTTCGACAAAAGTAATCTATACACTTCGCTTTTAATTTATCAAAATCTGGGTATTTAAAGAAGAAAATATCACAGACACGCGGACGGGGCAGT